TTTCTTGTATCAAGGACAATTAATATCGAGTATATTTTAATTTCTCGACTGGAGCTTTCGAGCTTGCAAGCTCTAAAACCCGTGCAATCGATGCAAGTACAGCATTATCTTACGACACGCTATATCCCAAGGCGACGGAATCTCCGCGTATTTTCGTGAGAGGTGGTGCCGCCGCCGCCGCCGCTGCCTCTTCTGACGTTTGAAGGTCATAGACGGGAAAACGAGGCACACACAGACACGCACACAAGCTAAAGGGAGGGTACAGAGTACATGGGGAGAGGGAAAATGCGCGCGCCCTCGTGATTTATGCTGCCAAGGCGCTTTTCTCTCGTCGCGGCTACTTTACTCTTTCGCGCGGCCTATACTATTATATTGTATTATACTCTCTCCGCTTCGTGATAATATGCGCGTGTTTGCGCGCGTGCATATATTGTATAATAGAAAAGCTCCAAGCAATTACGACGCAATAGCGAATTATTGGGTAGGGCGAGCGTGCAAAAATTCCTCTATCGATCGGATATTATGTATTAGAGGGGCGCAAGCTTGATTGGAGAATGCTTAGTTAGTTGTGTTTACGTTTAATTAAAAAATAAATATAAGTATTATGCGAAATTTGTTATTTCTTGGAAAACTTTTCAATATGTATCTCGGCTGAGCTTCGAGGAAATGTATCGCGAGTGCTCAAAAGTACATCGAAAAAAATTCCCCTCCATATTATTGAAACGTTCTAAAAATGACACGAAAACAATACTAAAAATCAACTTCCCAAACACAATCAGACCTTATTCGGACGAACTTGCGAGACACGCACGCGCGAAATAATCCCGAAAACGAATGGCATAAATGGCTATTCGAGTTCTAGGAAAGAAGCTCTGGATCACATCATCCAAAAACTCGAGCGATCTACATTATATCACTGCACGCGTGCGCGTGTACGAGTGTGACGCATACAACAGTTCTCCTAATTGATCGCGGCTGCTGCGCCGATCGGGCCATTACATCGTCGTCGTCGTCAACGTAAACACGGGAGTTTGCGCCCAGGGTTTTCCCTTTCGCATTATGACATATGATTCACGCCTATTTAGGTGGGTTAGGAGTTGGGCGCGAAGTACGAGGAAATGTTCACTCGTGTCGAGATCTAATTTCTAAAAACGAAACGGAAAAATCTCGGAGCTTTTCAAGCTCATATAGCGTGCGCATTATAAATATACACCCAGACGGACGGACACACATGGAGGTCTAATTCGCTCGATCGATTCATCGAAATTGTTTCAGGTATATGGCAGCGAAATTATAATCGTTATGCGACAACTAAGTTTTCGACTCTAATGGGACGTCGATGCAGCGCATAGCACAGGCATTACGCGTATGGGCACGAAAACTTATTCGTCAGATGTTTCGTACGAGCATATTACATATTACATGTATGCGCCGTACGCACCGGGAATAATAATTAGCGCAGAGCGACGCAATGCAGCTTTGACAAAATTACAGCTTTAAAGCAGCAGTCGTACATCGAGAGAGAGAGAGAGAGTCTTCTTATGCATGCAATACATATAAATGCTAAACATCGTAGCTACAACGTAGCCTTGCAATTAAACAAAAAAACAAAATAAAAAAGAAAGTTTTTCTTTCTCTCGGTAAAAGGGACGACGCGTAGACTCGTCGTATGGACAGGTGCTCGTTTCGTACATAATACTACGTATATGCAAATACTAAATATAGGTAATCGGGGGGTGGCGCTGCGTACACTGTTTCTTTTTTTTCTGTAAATTTTACAAAATTAATGAGCGAGCTTCGAACTGCGTGACCCGTAAATTATGAGTGTTCCTCGGATCCGCGAGGGAAGCACGTCTATTCGCATAGACCGGACATATATAATATTAGATGCAATCGAGCTGTGTCACTGCATTAGCGATGCGAGTACTATATATATACTGATTAAGTGTACCCTTAATTTTGGGGCTCGTTGTTGCGGAAAGGAAGAGAGAAACAAAAACCAAAGGGACTAAAATTTCTAATATTCGTTAATGAATGAATAATGCATATTACGAGCGATGCGTAAGAAAGAACTACACAATTCCTGGACTGTGTACTTTCTACAATAAAATATTCTCTGGAAAATCAATCATCAATGGATTTTCCGAGTCTTAGAAGAGATACAAGTCGTACTAATTATTGTCAATAGTGTCGACTCATCAAAATGTCAACAAGATTCGAGCGTTCTTTGTATTGTTCGTCTTAGTGTCAAAACTGACGTACAACTGAAATAATGGCTAAAAGGAGATTTATCGGAAAGGAAAAAATAGCCCTTGGAAAGAATCTTTGAAAAGTAAACAGCGTCTTAAAGATTTTTGCGAGGATCATAATTTGAAGCTCAGAACGTTGTGTGATTGGCGTGCACAGTATAAGAGTGGTCAGCTAACCGCGGAAGAAGATGGAACCCGCGGAATCAAGTCAGGTCGGTTTTCCGAGCAGTTTAATAAAAAAATTGATTTAGCTTTTCGTAAATAAGCCGTGTGTGGGTATTTGTCGAGAGACAAAAAAACAACCGTTAACGATATAAGCCCGCGACTTATTTCGGGGGGGGAGAACAGCGTCTACGAGCGAGCCAGCGAGAGAGCGCCTGTCCTCTGGATGCGTGTCGCAGCATTTAATGCTCGCGCGTACACGAGACTCGAGCGCGAGTGCATTTTTCGTAATAATAACGAATACGAAGACTCGACTCGAGTGTACGTACGAGCGTTTGTAATACTCGTGACTTTGGGGAGGGGGGCACGCGCAGAATATCGCATCAAGAACCCCGAGAGCATCGCCTAACCGATATAAAGTATACGCGAAGTGCGTCTCTCTTATAATATACATCGTATAAAAGACAAAAACACTCGGCCCATTCGGTCTTGCTGTACAGCTTTTTAATCGACGCGTATATAGACGAGATCCAAGTACGCCACTTACTTACATATATATGGGCCACGTAGTCGAGTGTTATATACACATCACAATACAAATGCACGTCGTTAATCATCGCCGCGGAGACGCGCCTGTATCTCTCTATTATTACGTGCCGCTGCTTCGCGAAGATACGACGATGTTTTTTATAATAAATAAAATAATAAATACGAACGATGCAGACGCGATTCGTATTAATCCAACACGCCGCATGAGCTCGATGCAATTTAACGTGTACTATATATATCGTAATAAATATAGCGAGGGCAAAAGAAGTCCTTACTTACGCTACTTCGTGCCCATTACGAATCTGGTTTAGTGTTTTAGTCGGTTGCGGCGAGTGCAGCCGGTTCGCATGTCCCATGTATAGGCTCGATATACATACAACGTAACGAATTCACTCGAAATGCGCGCGGATAGCCGCATTAAGGTACAATAATAAAAAGAAGAAAGAAATAGAGACACAGGGTGCAAGATAGGAAGGAATAATAGGTGCAGCGTCGGCTAGTTACCAAGGGCATTGTGCAAGAGAGGATAGCATTATGTACAGGACATAAAATGCCCTTCTGCTTATAGCTCGTTACTATATATATACGAGCGTTATGTTTGATACTAGTTTTTGCCTCTATTACTTGGAAAAAAACTAGCGGCGTAGCCATGATATAGCCCACACGGCTCGAATTCGTGAGAAATGCTCCGCGCTGCGGTCCCGTTACATGCGCTGTGCAAATTCGTCATGCAAAACCGCGCGAGTACAAACGGATGGGCAAGGATAAACCGCGCGTGGTGTTTCGTGCTGTGTGTGCAGGGCCCGATACAATTTTGGCGCGATCGCCCTGGGCTGTATACATCGAAAGACGAAGGCGTAGGTGTAAGTCGTGTTAACATATTGCTCGGCCCTCCACGCTTCTTGCACTATCGCGAGTAACGAGTCGTAAATAACCTTGAAACGACACGGGTGCCTACGATATGAGTAAGAAGCCTGCTGCACAACTAACGATCACGCGCTACTGCAGCGATTGAGTCAAAACTTGATGACTTATACGGAGCTAAAAGGGAGAAAGTGTCACGCGAATACTGAATTTTCTCCTTAACGATGTTTATCGCTCGTAAAGCGCTACCAAGCTGTCGTATATCGACGACCAGCACTAAGTAAATGCACGTGAGCTTCAGATAAAATAACCGTTAAGATAATCTACCAGTGTACAAGTTTAAAATTTTGGAAAGTCGGTAATTAGACCCCTCGCGCGAGTTAAATCTTCTGTGCAGTCGTAGTCGTCGTGGTCGTCGACGTTGGCGTTTTATTTTGCCTCTCCTCGGATACAGAGTTCAAAAAACTGCGCGGCTGCAAAATTGTATATATAATGAATTCGAATCGATGATCATGATTCGCAAGCCACAAGCTGTATAATGTAATAATGATAATAATTAAAATATGTATATAAAGTATAGACCGAAGCCGCGCGCATATTTTCTCTCGGCGACTACTCCCTATCCCTTCCTTTTTGCGCTGACTAGCGCACACACTTACACGCATAGCGGGCAACATTCGCACTTTCGAGAGGCTTTCGGGCAAAAACTCCTTCTTTCTCGACTCGTGTCAGCCCCGTGCAACGCGGAGCGAACTACGGGTCAATACACGCGCGTTATATATTATGCGCACCAACACACAGGCGTGCACACACGTATATACTTTTGGGGGAAAACGGCCGAGCCGCGCGCAGGACTCCAGGCCTACGTATATCGCAAGATTTCGCACGCGCGAGAAAGAAAGAGACAGCTTATATTATGTATTAACCTACCTCTCATTCTGTATAGTTCTGCTACTTATGTTAAATGTATGTGTCATACGGGACGGGGCCATAGCTGTTGCTGACACACACATACACACACATATGCATGCACGTATGTGAGATGCGAAATTTTCTCTCTCGCTGCTGCTGCTGCTGCTGCTGCTGCCGCAGTCCGCGCCGAGGCAGTTGTTCGCCTATGATACACATACACACACATACACGCATAAATCAGCAGAAAGAGAAACGGCGCCGCGTTCGCCCATGGCATGTATTACACTCGTGTGCCCTCGCAATTCGACGTGTGCTGTATATAGCCGCAGTTTCGCGCGAGGATATCTTATAATTTTGCACACATTCAGCTATAGTCCGCGCGCGAGGCGACACACTGCGAGCAACTGTCTTCGTGCGCTGTGCAACTGTGTAGCATAGGTGTGTGCGTGTCCGTGTGTGAGTCCAGTTCTAATACGACACTCGAACACACGCGTATTTATATAACTGTGCGTATATATATATTGTATGTGCGCCGTCAGCCCGTGACAGTGTGTGCGTGATATCATCATAACGCGAAGAGAACGTGCCGGGGTTGCATGCAGCGGCACGACACACACTTTCGAGTTTCGGCTGATGATCCGCAGTAGTGGTGCGCGCGCGAGACACCGTAACGATACAACAAAGAGATACTGCGCCTGTGTGTTCGCGCATTTTTGATTTTATATTATTATATTGTTGAGTATCGTCGCCAACAGTCGCGGCTCGACTACTCGGCGCTCGACGACACCGACACTAATATACTCTGTCTCTCTCTCTCACCACGCGAGCGCGAGAGGCTGTGTGTTGTTCGGTATCGTCGTCAGTTTCTCCGCGACAGATTGAGTGCGAGTGCGTGTCGAGCACGTTCGTGCAGTTCACCCCCCAAAAAAGTGTAAAAAAGTGGATTTTAACCGTTGTTAGTCTTCCTTTTTTTAACGAAAAATCTTATGATCTCATTAAGGTTAATCCGAACTTTTATCGTCTCTCCCTTTCTTCATCTTTTTTTTAATCTCACCGGATTTTTATAAGAATAGAGAGAAGTGAATTATTGTCAAAGTGACCAAAGTTTTTTTAGTCGAATACCAAAGTTATAGATTATTTATAAAATTTCGTGAACTTTATTGATAAACGTGTGTGTACTGAGATATCTCGCGTATACATTGCCGTGTTAAATGTACCAAGGAATATCTAGTACATCGATATAATTGATCAACGCACTGTGTGCCCTGTGTCCGTGTATAATAAGACTCTCAGTGCTTTGGTTCGCGCCTTCGAACCCCTCCCCTTCTTCGACTACTCGAAGCTTACGAGCTCGAACCAGAGAGAGGATACGATTTTTCGAATAAAGGAACGTGGGCGCCGCGCGCTGCATTCGTACCGGCCGGCGAGTCTTGGCTTGCAACGGTCAACCGAAACAAACTGCAAAGAGAAAAAAGCCGAGTTACGAGATCGAGCGTATAACAGTTGAGTAAGTAAAAATATCCATGCATTCTAAAATATTTTTCTGATATTGTGCAACGACTCGATTCTACGCGTAATACACGGAAATCGCGCGTACCGATGCCCCTGGACGCATACAAGGAGTCACGAGAGTTCGTCAAATTCTGCGACCCCGTTTGTTTACGTTTCGAGGCGCAGCAGCAGCAGCAGCAGCAGCAGCTCAACGTTATAATACAATTCTTGGTGCGGTACACGTAATAACCGTTGCGTTTGATAAGTCGATTGCGCCGCGCGGCATTTCTGCTGCTGCTGCATCGTTTGCTCCCGTGTACGAAAGAGACATTGTTTATTCGATGACCTTGCGATTTCTGCGCTTTAAGCTGCGCGCGCGCGTGTGTGTCAGTCGACAGCAGAAGCAGCAGCAGCAGCAGCAGTTACACAAGTCGTTTGTATCGATGTGTCGAAATTTGAATTTTGATACACATGCGCGTAGCGATGAGATGTATTCCCCTATCAAAGTTCGAGTATCGCGTCGCGCGGATTCGCCAAAAGTTCATTGAACTGCATCGATGTGTCTCGCGTATTTATTATATTACACAGTTTACACGCGTGTGTGATTATACACAAATAATGCCAAACTGTCGTTGAGCTGTCGTTGCTCTATACGAGATTCGAAATTTTCACGTCATCGATCTACTTGCGAAATCGCGACGATAGCTGTGATGATAATTGACGCTTGCCTATGGATACGTAACGGGGTTTTGAGGTTATATCTATGCAGAGAAGCGAGTGCAGGTCGCGATCGGAAACTGCACGAGATGCGTCTTACTCGCTCAATTTTTTGATATAAATATTTATAATCCGTCGAGAAAATGACGCGTGGGTGGGGTTCATTGGCATCGCGCGCGCTACTACTACTGCTCATCGTTATTGTTGTTGACGTCGGGGATTCAGGTGCGATGATTTTCGAATCGAAGCCGAAAGCACACGAACGAGAAGGCAAGTGAATAATATTATATGTATAGGTATAAATCGGGAGAAAATCACCGGGGCACCGACGACGATTGTTCTCGGGTTACACTTTTATTCGAGCTTATTGTCGCGCGCGCAGCTATTGTAAATATCATACTTGTACACCGGCTCGGTGCGTCAACAAACAGACACACACAGTATTATACAGTACGGAGAGAGAGACGAGGCGGTGAGAGTAGATCTCTGTGCGAGCGCAAGTCGCGCAGGTGACGCTGAATTACGTACCTATGCTCGCACTTCGAAGCCCGATTTTTGTAGTGAGTGAGCAAGCGAGCCTAACCCCCCTTCGAAATCGAATGCAACACAATAACAGGCGCGCGCCATAACGTGCACTCTGTGCTTGCGCTTGGCGCGTAAACATCGTGTACGCTGCGTATTTTCGCATTCTCGCAGCTTCTTGGAATCGCGGCAACTTCTTGAACGATGCTACACGTTGCTGTTGTTGCTGCTGCTGCTGCTGCTCCGCGTGTAGACGAATTTAACTTGAAAATGCGCTATGCGCGTGTCGATGTTGTCATTAAGACGTATGCGTATATAACGCAAGGTAGTCGTAAGATGACCGATTCGCGTCGTCCAAGTCTATTACACGCAATGTGTAACGACACTTGGCTCTCTCGATCAGTAGGATAATAAACGACATAACGGTGTGTTAAATAGACGATATCCTCATCCTCTTTCTTCTTTGCGATGAACATATTCTTCGATCGAGTCTATTAGCAGCGGTTCTCTCTTATCATTCTTGTCTCGCGCGATTAGCGCGTGAAAGTATACCGCACGACGGGGTTACGGCACCCGAATTATTATAATACAAGTTTGCAGTCGATGTGCAATGCTGCAAGGGTCAAAGTTTCTCAGCGCATATTTATACTAGCTATGTACGAAACACGCATAATACACGTAAGTGCCATTACCTCCGCTGCGCTGTATACGCGCGACGATATCATTTGTATTTATATGTACATAATAAATCGAGCCCTGCATTTACGAATACGTACACTTATGCAGTCGAGCCGGCACTTGCGAGCGCTCACGACTGTATTATAGAAAAAGAAATAAAACTAGACTGTCGTCTAGGTACGTGTAATACGGGATTGGTATAGCAATATAATGGGACAACCCCTCTTCTCGTCTATGCGTGTATATATGCAGCGCAATAAAAAAAATAGTTATAGTGCTACAGTGTGTGTGTGTGTGTGTGTGTGTGTTATGCGGACGCACACACGACCCTGGCATTGTGCGCTCGTTCGCGCGCGACATTGTATGGATATAGCAGTCTTATTATCTAATAAATATGTGATATACATATAATACGACTACGCGACGAGTCGAAGGGCTCGATTTCGCGCGAAAAAGCCACGTTTTCCTGACATATTTTCTCCCGCGCGTTCCGACGACATCATCTCTCTTCTATATGAGGGCTGATTTTCGGCCATTCTCTCGTCTCGTGGCACTTGCGAATAATCGAGCATAATGCATACTCGACTTACTATGCGCATTTTCCTGCACTTCTTTCTCTCCGCTCGTTACATGGCGAATTGCTATACTCTACTCGCCGTCGAGGAGAAACGAGAGCAGTGGTACAATTCCTCGAGTGGCCTGTGTGTGTATATGAAAATGTCTCGACGAAATCACGCGCACCATTGGTCCTTCCTTGTTCTGTGTGCTACTCCACATCCAGCAGCCGGTTATACATTATTAAAACGCGTACGCGCGCATACTGCGTTCGGGCTTTTCTATGTACAGCGAAAGAGAGAGAGAGAACTGCACCAAGGCCACACCTGCTTTGTTCGGAGCACGATCCTTTTTTTTCCTCCTCTTCTTCTAAATGCTGCTGCTGCTGCGCTGACATTGGCGCTATTTCACATAATGCGCGTATGAGCCGCGAGCGTACGATACCGGTATTTTACGAACTTTTTCTTTCTTGCTGCTGCTGCTACCGCCGCGTGTCTAGGCGCATACATATACGCATATTGTATATGTACTGCTGCGCTCGCTCTTGTGTAAGGTAATATAGTAGTAGCTATACAGGCGGTTTTGTTCGTCTATGAATTCATTGTTGACTCTCTCTCGATGATTGCATAAATGGAGAGGGGTGGGTAGTGGTTAATTTCGCCGATTGGCCTCGGCGAGCGGTTACACGCCAATTTAATTCTTACGATCGTGTTGTTGTGTACGTGCATATAATATAGCAGGAAAATTTTCAAATTATTTCACCCCAGAGAGCGCGCAAGATCCTGCTCAAGATGAAGTGTACCTATATATGTACACGAAGTACGCGAGTTCGTAAGTGGCTGCGAATCAGTAGGTCAAAGCTCATTTCTGAGAAAAGCCCGCCAGTTTTTTGTCGCTCTGTCCGCAGTCACACGCAATCATACGTTACGCAGCACACGTGCATTAATCGGCGAATGAAAAGTCTGCATCTTGCGCTTTTTATGCTAAACGAATGCGGAAGTGCTCGCGGTAGTGTATAAAGCACGTGCGAACCAAAACGTACAGCCCTCAGCTCTCTCTGTACGTCTACGACGTATCCTCTACGAGTATACGCACACATGCCGTTATACCGGTCTTGGGGATACGTACGTAAAAACACCGGCAAGTTCCTCCTCTCTTTTTTGCTTTTCCACGCGCGTTGTATTCTGCACGACGACGACGACGACGACCAAGTGCATCTGATTATCGGTATAGAGAAAAAGCAACGTTCTATGTACGTATATATGAGGCACGCAACAGCCTTAACAACGTAGCAAATGTGTGCGGGAACACGTATAGTTTCGGAATGCGACTCGCGCGTACACCACCATTGTGCGCTCCTATTGTGTTGCATATACGCATACGTGTATGTGCGCGCGCGGCTATAGCTAGAGCTAGCTCTGCTACTACTCTGAAAGAGGGGAGAGTATACGAGAGTATACGCCCGGGCCCGTGAAAAACATTCTCGTGCAGCAGCAGCACTGTAGGTAGTAGTAACCCCTCGATTTCGATGCGTGTACGTACGTGCTATGTGGCACCTTATGGATTTTCCCTCACGTGCGCCAACCTGCATTGTTGCCGGAGTAAAAGCATAGCTACATACTATATGCTGGCTAGTATAAATAATGCGCTGTACCTTTTCGTACATATATAAGCTCTTGCGTTTGCTATGATTACATAGTCCGCCGCTGATATACCCGCTGCAGCGCCGAAATTAGCTCGACTATACCGCTTTCATCGGTTACGATCGGGTCGCATCTTGTTATTATTGGAAAACAGTAATGTACGCGTGTATCCATTACATTTTCCATTTTCCACTCAAAAATAGCGCCACGACGATCGATTACCTCGGATAAAACCTATAGCACCAGAGAGTTTTTTTAATCGCGCCAGTATTATACTGTTTCGGAATTTCAACGCGCGGTATCAACCGCGCTTGTAATCCCTCTCCCCCTTGCGCGCCATCCCATTTACCTCGGCTAATGTTATTCGCCACTGAATTATTCATCGACGCATTGTGTTGCGGCGCGCGCATGCTTCGACGTACAATGACACTGCCCTCATCATAGTTATAGTGGTATAACGTACTGCATCCAAAATTTTCGCACACTCGCTGCTGGGCGCCCCAACTATGCAACCGTCGTCGTCGTGCACTTTTTTCTTCGTGCTTATTAGCATCGCCAATTTGAGCAGCAGCAGCAGCAACGTACAGAGACACGAAGCGATCAGGGAATTGGCTCAAGCCTATATGGTGGCATTATCGAGAAAAGAAGATGCAGAGACACTTTTCTGCCCAATTTCGAAACCGCACTCATAGACATGGAAATTGTCGCGCGCGACGTGCAAATTCACCCCCTCAGAAACACAAGTAAACCGAGAGAGCGAAAGAGCAGCTAGAAAAAAAGTTCTTTCGGCGATTTTAATTAGCCCGCGTTCTCTCTCTCTCGCTCGTTGTCTCGGTTTCAACGCGACAAAAAAAAAGTCTCACATACAGAGTGTGTGCAGTTATAGGACGTTACAACGACG